TATATCTACATATTTTGTGTGTATTGTTTTTAAATATAATAAATCTTTTTAAAGCTATAATTTTAATCTCAAGAATCCCACTTTTTATGTATCAGTCGAATTGTGTCTTCTATCAACTATCATACAAGTCAATGACAACAAAGAATAAAAATGCTTGAAAAAAGTTTCACTTCCATTTCTTTTCTTTCTAGAATAATTGTTCTTCAAAATAGATACCGACTCGTGATCATTATTTAATATAATATTTTTTTTTCCGATCTTTCAACATCAAATGTAAATAAAATATATTACAAAACACGATTATATACGTTCATAAAACATTCTCCTGAACGCATTGACATCTCTTCCAGGTACGCATATCAAGCCACGCAAATAATTCGATTAAGATAGATAAAATATTGTACAATATGAAATTCAAACCTTTCTTTTACAGTTATAGGAACATCCATTTGGAAAGTTCGCGTTTTGCCGACGTAATGATCAATGCTGATAGATTATTTCACACGCTTCGGAGGTCTACCACGTTTTTTCGCCTCGGTGTTTACAGCGTGATTGATAATTGATGATTTGGCAGTATGCGAATTCATTGCTTTTTGTACATTTCTCCCGGCATCGATTTTATAGAAATCTAGTTCGACTGTTTCACTCTCGATCGCCCTCCTAGATCTTCTGGTTCGACCAGCGATTCCCTCCATTTCGTCAAACTTCGCCTGCAATCTTTGGGCCAACTCGAAGTCTTCCTTTTCCTGTATAACTAGTCTTTCCATTCGTTCTTGCTCTTTGATAATTTCCTCGTCCGAGAGAATATTTTTCTCCACAATCGTACTTGTTTCGGTAGTATTGTTATTCTCTGATATATATTCTTGTATCTTAACGCAAGATTTAGAAAAATTGCAATTGTCCACATTATCTACATTCTCATATGTTATATTTATGGAACTGTGGGCGTGTTTTATCTTTCGTGTTGTTCTTTTTAAGCCAGAATTGTTAATCTGGCAATTTAACTTTATGGAAGCGTCACCTTTCTCGGAACTTTCTATGCTAGATTGTTTCGTTGAGCACATCCTTCGCTGTTTCGACTTCGACAAAGCAGATCTAGTGAACTTAGTTCTACTTCTATTTTGCATTGAAACAGGAACATTGTCTGTCATTTCATATTGAATCTCCTCTTTTCTACACGGTCTCTTTCTTGTGTCTCTTTTTATGATTGTTTCTAAATCTGAAGAAGATAGTCTGGTGGAATTCTTTTTATCCGTGTTTATTTTCCTTTTCTTTATTCTCTCCGCAATATTCTCGATCGTTATATCGTTCGCTTCAGGTATTTCAGACTTTTTATCATAAAAAGAATTTAGCTTTATAGATTCAGATGGAGAATTTAAATTTCTCATTTCGATATCATTCGTATACTTTGTATTTGCTGCAACCTTGATATCTTTCTTAGTCCATAAAGATTTTTGTCGTTTGGATTTACACACCATGCCGTTTCTAATATGAGATTTCCAAGATTTTTGTACTTTTCTAATATCTCTATGCTCTTCTAAATTTTTATTAACTTTAGTGCCATTAATTATGTTATTCACATTTTTAGCATAATTTTTATTAGAATCGAATGATATCTCTGAAATATATTCAAGTTTGCGAATATTATCATGCGTCTGAAATTTTGTTTGCGATTGACTACAAGATGTTGACGGTTTTTGTTCGATTTCTTCCTTACATGGATCTTTCTCTTTAGAGTTCTGTTTGGTTCTCCCTATGATATTTGAAAATATTGTACTTCTGCTTGTGTGACTTTATATTCTGGATTCTACTGCATTATAAAATTAACTTACCTCGAAATGCACTCCAGGAACATCCAATAATTCGTTTTAAATGTGCTTGAGATGGAGGTTTAGGTACAACGTTTGATATCCTTTTCAGTATTGGAACAACTCTAATTAGTTTCGGATCTATTTGTCTTCCATCTGTAACATAATAGTATTGTAATTACATAAATTACTTTGAAGAATGTTGGAATTTGAACCTAAGTATATGATGTGTCCGGAAAATAATGAAAACGAAATAGGTAAACTGCTTTAATAAAGGAAATAACATTCCCTTGTAAATTTTTTCAATAAAAATTTTTTTATAAAACAAAATTCTCATTACTCTCCGGACAGATCATGTGTAAACATTAAGAACAAAATTCAACCTGTAGACAGTTTTAATGGTGTTCTGGGCATAGCCTTGATAGGTTTAAAATGATGAATTTCTTGATTAATGCTGTCATGACTACCAGTACTTTCTGCACTTCCCATTCTTTCGTCATCGTCCCCTGACGACACACATACTTCCACACTTAAACTCTTCTTTTTACTGTTTACGATATCATTTGGTACATGCAACTCTTCCTTGCTCTGGGTACCATATATTTTTGAAGTAGACGTTCTAGGTTCCAAAGAGCATTTTGATATACAAGGTTCAATTATTTTAGATACCGTTTGATGCTTTAAAGTTCTTGAAATAGCATTATGTACAGGTTTTTGACAACAGAATTTACTCGTAGAATCGTTACATGCACTAGGCAGGACTGCATTGTTTTTTATACTAGATGCATATCTTTCTGCATGGATCTTAGATATTAACGCAATATTTGATCTTCTTAATCCAGAATTATCTTGAGACTCTTTCTCATACTTTGAACTTTGTGATTCTTCCTTATATGAATTCACTTCAGTCATAGTAGCGACATTCAATTTTGAAGTGTGAAAAGAACTATTAGATACATTGAGAGAGTTCTTATATTTAGACACTCCTTTGTGTTTGTCGACAAGCTGTTTCTTTACCAAAGATTTAGCAAGTAACTGATCTTGAGTTAATTGAACCAGCTGTTGTTGTTGCTCTTCCTCCTGAATTTTGCGAATTAAAGCCTCGCTGGCTATCTCTTCAGCTTTTCTTTGACATCGCATTTCTTCCTCTGCCATTTGAAGTTGCACCTCATATTCGTGTCGAATTTCTCCTGCTGCACTAAGTATCTTATTAGCAGCAATGTAGCCTACATAAAAAAAAAACAATATTTCAGAACATATTTAATGCGCAAATATACGGTTTTAAATGACACTTAAATCATACTTTTTCTTTGACGATAATAATAAATAGAAATGATAAACAACATAGAATAATTCTGTGCATAATTTAGCGTTGATAACATTGTTGTCATTGCATGTTATAATAAAACTGAATTTCCTTATTAGAAAAACACATTTTATTACTTGCAATCACGTACACATATATATCAATGTTGTGATTATACAGCTACAGAGGTTATGTTACATTTGTTTATCTTGTGTTGTTGAGAACTTACCAGCATCCAAATCGATATTTCTGTCGTTACCGCTGTATTTATTTTCAACCTCTTTGGAAAATTTCGTCTGAATTAACTCCCAAAGACCGTTATTAACTAATGTTTCAGTCTTCGTTGCTGTACGTAGCCAAGAACCGACTCGTATTCGACAAAGAGGACAGCTCAAACTATTGTATTCGAAAGTACCTTTCAAACATTTTAAGCAAAGGTTATGTGTACACGGCAATGTTACTGGTTCAATAAGAATGCTGCGGCATACTGGGCATATTAAATCTCGTAGATTAATATCCAGCGATGATTGTGTCAAAGAAATATTAAACAATTTTGACGTTCGCTTCAAATATGTCGCCATCTTGCCATATTCTTTAAAGAAACATAACAACCACTATGATCATTATGAGAACCGTGATTCTCTCATTGAACGAAAACAACTAGATTTAAATTCGGTAGATCTTATGAAACACGCATTTAAATTAATCGAGTGCCTATTCAACATTTTATGTATTGAATGTTTCTAATTAAAACTTACTTTAATTTCCGCGAAAATTTACCTAATTTTAATATGCCCTTTTAGTGAATTTTTGTTGTACAGTTTAAATTATTTTTGTAACATATATCTGAAATGTGTATACTTTCTAAAAAAAAAATATCTAGACAATAATAAGATTATAGTCTAACGATCATATTAACATGATATAACATTTCAATAATAAAAAAATAAAACACTAGGGAAATAAAAAAAAAGATGCTGTTTTAATTTTTTAAATAATGAGTAAGAAAAGATAAATATATATTTCTATAAATTGAAGAATATCTGTAAAATATATTGTCTCACAATTTATAAATCTCGTTTGACACTCGTAGATATGTATAAAAATTTAAAAAATTACTAACTGTATATTCCCAACTGAAACGTTACGTATATTAGCATAGAGAATTGTCAAACAATATTCAATGTAAAATATAAAATTTATTTCAAGACCTTTACTCAAAAATAAATTATATATAATTGAAAAGATCGTATACTGCATTTTATTTCCTTTTATACATGATATATTCAAATACAGTATTTATAATTAGTAAGTTGGTAATCTTTACAATCAATAAAAAAACTATGTAGTAGAATTCCCTCAATTTTATGTAGAAAATTATTAACTGCCGACTTCGTCAAGAAGCTGACGCAATCGGAACAAGTTCTTGCGATTGAAATAGTTGTGAATTTTCTCGAAAAAAATAGTTATTCAAGCATTTAATTAAAGTTATATTTATATAAATAATTTGTTTTCTAGAAGCAATATAAAATATGGGACGTAAAGGTACATATGCTACATATATAAGTATTATAACATTTCATGGGTAACAGTATAATAAGAATAGTAAATGTAATAATTTTCCAAAATCAAACGACAAGTAGGATATACACACATACA